AAGCAGCAAGATACCCCCCCACACACACACACACTCCCAGCCTAGCTTTTTATAGGTACTGTGATGGAACTTAGAAGCTCATGCTTGCACAGTAAGCATTTTACTCTCCTAGGCACCTTATTCCCTTTGGTATATGTATGAGATGTATATGCACATGTATATGTTTGTGTGTACATGGAGGTTAGAGGTTGATGGTGCACGTCTTTATCCCTCTCCACTTTTTTTTTCCCTCCTTTTCAGACAGGAACTCTAGTTCTCTGGTTTAGCTAGACTGGCTGGCCAGTAAGCCCCTGAAATCCTCATGGCAATGCTTCCCTAGCACTTTGATTACAGCCATGCACTAGCTTTTGCATGGGTTCTGGGGATTTGAACTCGGGTCCTCATAATTGCAGCTAAGCGCTTAAGAAGCTAAGGTCTCTAGCTCACTTCATTCCATTTGTTATTACATGATGCCCAGTTTTATAGTTATATCACATTTATCCGTCATATCTATTTCATGAATTTAGGGTTGTTTGTACTTTTTGATATATAATTATTTACTTTTTGTAAATAATGCTATTAAGGACATTCACAGACAAGCTTTTGAGTGAATACATATATATTAATTTCTTTGAATGTACCATTGGTGTTCTTTGCATATTGAACCAATCATGGACTGAAAATGTACCGTGAACAGGGAAACTATATTGAATAGGTACCTGACTTTTTCTTATCATTATTCCCCCAAACAATATAGTACAACATGTGGTGCACACTGTAAACCCAGTACTCTAGAAGCTAAACAGGGGATCTTCAGCCTGGCCTACACAGTGACACCTGTATTAAAACATCAAATCAGGGCTAGAGAAACAAGTTAGCAGTTAAGAGTGCTTACTGGTTAGAAGTTCAGTGCTTAATACCCATGCCAGGTAGCTCACAACTGCCTGTAACTCCAAGCTTCAAAAGATCCAAGACCCTCTTCTGATCGCTGTAGGAATTTAACATGTGCCATGTGCATGCACACACACACCAAATACACAAGTCTAAAAAAGCAACCACACAACAAACTAAACAAGAAAAGTGTTTTGCACTGAGGAGACAGCTTAGGGGTAAAGCACTTACCAACCACTCATGAGCTCAAATCCCCAGAACCCATTTTAAAGGCAAGCACAGTAGTGCATCTGTAATTTCAGTACTCCTACAACTGAGTACAGACAAAAGAATCCCTAATAGTTCATGGGCCAATTAGCCTGGTGCAGCAAACAAAGACCTTGTCCCAAACAATCTGAAAAACACGGACTGACACCTGAGGCTGTCTTTTGACCTCTACACACATGCCATGTCACAAGTGTGCCCACACTCACATGAATAAACACACATACCACATAAAATATAATAAACATCAAAAACATTTTTAAAAAAGATTTTTAGTACCCACTGAAAGATACTCTCTAAAATAAAAGTAAAATAAATGAGTATATAAAAAACAACACAAATAACCAATTATTCAACTAAAGAGATACAACTGAAGGAAGGTAGAAAGGTGGTAAAGCACTCAACCTAACAGAGCATTCACACCACAAAAATGCTCATTCATGTAACAAATTCAACATGTATACAGCACTTCCTATCTATATAATATATAAGTACCATGTGTCACACTGAATGCTCATATCAATAATATAATAGTAACTGACAGTTACTATTATCATTCTCCTTTTACAGAAAAGAAAGTAAAGGTTTGGATTTAGAGGTTGGGAAGATGGCTGAGTAGTTAAAATGCTCGCACATAAGCATGAGAACAAGAGTACAAACAGAACCCTCTAGCAAATGCCAAATGGGAGTGGAAGCTTGTCTGTAATCCCAGCTTCAGAGGGCCCCTGGAATGGGAGCCTGTCTGTAATCCCAGCTTCAGAGGGGAACTGGAATGGGAGCCTGTCTGTAATCCCAGCTTCAGAGGGCCCCTGGAATGGGAGCCTGTCTGTAATCCCAGCTTCAGAGGGGAACTGGCTAGCAAAACTATACTGGGAAGCTCTGGGCTTGACGATTCTGCCTCAATGAACAAGGTGGAAATTGATTACTTACATCACCCTTCTGCCTGTGTGTTCGAGTATGCATGCATGCGTGTGTGTGTTCGAGTATGCATGCATGTGTACTCAAGTCTTCAGACCTAGCAGCGAACCCCTTTACTCATCCTTCAGCTATCCTCAAGGCCCAGCATACATTTTTGTCTGTTTTGTTTTTCAAGACAGGGTTTCTCTGTGTAACCCTGTCCTAGAACTCACTCTGTGGACCAGGCTGGTTTTGAACTCTGGAGATCTGTTGGCCTCCACTTCCCAGAGTGCTGAGATTAAAGGTGTTTGCCACCACTGACCAGCTTCAGCACATGATTTCTTAACTATGGGTTGATAGGTGATACAATACAAAGTGGACAAAGAGATCCACCTGCTTCTGTCCCCCCAAATACTGGAATTACAGGTGTAGGCCATCCCTACCCAGCTCAACTACACTGTTTTTACTGTGCACTCAAAGTTTTCTGCTTTTATGAAAGCCTACTGTTTTACAAACAAAACAGTTTTAAGGTTTTCCTATTGTCTTTTTTAAAAACGTTATTATCAAGAGTTCAAGGTAAAACTTTGCTACACAGTGAGGTCCTAATCTGGCTAACCTGGGATACGTGAGACTCTATCTCAACACACAAAACAGCAACAAAAAACACAAGGAGGCAGGCATGGCAGCACATACCTTGAGTACTTGTGAGGTAGAGGCAAAGGATCTCTATGAATTTGAGGACACTCTGGTCTACACAGAAGTTTCAGGCTAACCAGGGCCACAATGAGATCTCACAAAGAAAACTAACAAAACCAAAACAAAATAGAAAATCAAAAAGGTTAGGGATGCACCTAGGCTAGGAACTTCTCTAGTACACACAAAGCTCTGAGTTGGATCTGCGGCACAGGTAAACCACATAGCAAGGTAACACACGCCTATAATCCCAGCACTAAGGAGGAGGAGGCAAGACCAGAAATTAAAAGTCATCCTTGGCACATGAAGCTTTACATAGTATGTGCATGTGATACGTTGTTCAGATATCTGACTTGGAAAACTGCTGTCTGACCGGCTGATGAGCTAGCTTAGCAGGTAAAATGACTTGTCATAGCCTGATGACTTAAGTTAATCCTTGGATCCTACAGTATAAGGAGAGAACCAACTCCTGAAAGTTGTCTCTCTCTCACTCACATACACACACAATTAAATGGCCCTAAACACACTTCTGCCATTTTGTACTTTGTATTTATGGGAAGCAGTTTTCTCATTATTGATGGTGATAAAAATCAAAGCATCAACTCTGAAAAATGTTGTAGATGGTCTGTACCCTGTAGTATCAAACACTCAGCCAAGATAACTTTTGGTTTCTGAGACAGGGTCATGGCCTATCATCTGTTATGTACTCAAGGATTGCCCTCAAGCCTCTCTCTATGTTCCGAGTGCTGAGAATATAGGCATGGACCACCATCCCTGGCAATACTGAATTATAAGCATATGCACCTCATTAGTATATGCAATAGCTTTTGTCTTTAATAAATGGTAAAAATTATACACAGACCAAAGAATTGGGCTTTGAGTTAGGGTCTTGCTATGTAGCCCTGGCTGGTCTGGAACGCAGTATGTATACCAGGCTAGCATTGAATGCCTGGGGTAATCTCCTGCCTCATGGGCCACCATACCAAGCTCCAAAGAATAGTCTTAAAGTAAGTTTCTTTATTACTTATCAGCAAATCTTTGATTTTTAGACAATCAAGGTCTCATAAAAATTTTCCAGACAAAAAAAAAAGGGGGGGGGGGGCAGTCCTGGCAGTTTAAAGAACCTGGCCAGACACTGTATTCATCAACCTAAGTTTACTGATCACCTACTACCTCCCCGGCTCTGTGCAGTGAAAAACTATTGGCTGGGTGCGAGCCTGCAATTTCAAACAACACGAAGGCAAGACAGCCTGAGAGGTAAAGGCAGGAGGATCTCACAGAGCGAGTTCCAGGTCAGTCAGGATTACATAGTGAGACCTTGTCTCAAAAATCCAAAACAAAACAAAAGCCCAGCCTGGAATAAACAGAAATTCCATGCCAGCCTGAACTACACAGGAAGACCAAATAACAGAAAGAAGAGGGAGGGCGGGCGGGCGGGCAGAGGCCATAGCTTAGTAGTCGAGTGCCTGCCTCAACAGGGTCGAGGGCTTCTTTAAAGTTCGGTATTTCAACAACAAAACCAAACCCGACCTGGTCTGGCCTTCCTGACTGACTAAAAGTCAAAGGTTTTAATACTCTGTTGGACAAACTTGAACACACTTAATTTTCGATTCATCGCGAGCCTCGGACCAGATTCCTCCACTCTGACACCACTGACCTCGGCTTCACTAACTCGGGTTGGGGGTGGGAGGCTGCCCTACGTACGAAGATTCTGGAAGCATCTCCCGCTTCTTCGCGGGTCTAGGCCGTTCCCAGGCGCCCTCTGCGCCCCCCCCCCCCCAACGTTCCGCTCCTCAGCTCGGACGCCACCCCGGAGGGAATGGCTCCCTGACCAGCGCCTTCTGTTCCCAGCCCTTTGGGAAAGGTGTCCCCTCCACCAGCCGAGTGACAACACTCGCGGACCGTCTGACTCTGTCCCCGGGTCTGCCCCGCGGGCCGCGGGGCCCTACGAGGGCAGGGGGCGTCTGGCACACGAGCATGGCAACTGCAACAGAGTTAACGGCGGGGAACACCGAGGCGCGTTGGGGAGGCGACGGGGACCCCAGGGGGCGTGTGGGGATCGTTAACCAGGAAACGGAGCCGGGGCGAGCAAAGCCTGGGCCGGCATTCCGGCCAGGTCCACCTGCGCATGCGCCTCGCTCTCCCGGGCGCTCTCCCGGGCACCCTCCCCACGCCCCCCCACCCCCCGTAGGTCCCGAGTTTCCAAGGTTTTCCCGGGGCTACGGAAAGAGGGACAGGGACGGCCGCCGCGGCGGGAGCCCCCAAGAAGAACTTACAGAGAGCCCCGAGAGCGGGCGACGAGATCCCTCCCCGGGATACTGCCGGCGGCCACCACGTCCGCGCGAGTCGCGAATCCTCTCCTCAGGCCGCCTAACGGCCGTTACACGCCCGTCAGGACGCACGCCTCCGAGCGCGCGCCGCCCGGCACCGCCCCTTTCTGCTGGCTCCTGACCAATAGAAAGTCGAAACATGTGGCTGTCCTGTCCCTTTCTGCCTTCCTTTGACCAATGGAGACTCGGGCCGCTCGGGAGTCCCGCCCCTGCACGGAGCCCTGGGTGGTGGGCGGGAGGATCACTGCGTAGGCGGTGCGAGACCGGCGGATCGCTCTGCGCATGACCCAGCGGCTACTCAGCTGGGACTCCTCGCTCCTTACCCGGTGCTGCCTCTAGGTGGCGCTGTGCCAGCGCGGCTTCGGGAAGCTGCTGGGCTTCAGCAGGGGCGGGGACGAGAGGCCAGGCATGAGGGACACAACCTGCCTCACTCCCCTCCCTCAGGAACGAGGAGGGCAGGGGGTGCCAGTGACCTGCCTGGGTCACTGCCTATTAATAGTTAATGATGAGGAGCTGGAGAGCTGGCTCAGAGGCTAAGAGCGAGGGCTGCTCTTTCAAGGGTCCCAAATTCGATTCCCAGCATCCTTGTCTGGCTACTCACAACTCTCTCTTCTGCCCTCCACTGACGCGCGCGAAGACACACACACACACACACAAACTGCATTCACACATAAAAGTTAAAGACATATTAAGAATAACAAATTAATGGATGGATGTTGGACCTGGGAATGACAGAAGAACTTAGAAATTAGGAACAGGGGGCTTTATTACTATGAACGTTAAATCTGGATGTCTAAAAATGAATTTATAAACTAATGAGCAGAAATTTGAGTTTTCCCAGTTGATAGCTTCTGCTTGTTTTCTGAGGAAGGAGGGAGCAAGGACAAGAGCTGGTCCTGAAAAGAGAAGAAAGTTCAACCGTGAAAATGCTGGGATTTAAATCTACAAGCTGTGTGCGTTAATGAGCTGGAAGACGGAGTATGTCCGTAATCACAGTTCAGAAGGCTAAGGCAGGAGGCTCAGGAGTTTGATGCTGGCCTGGGCTACACAGTGAGATCCTGTCAGGAAAAAAAAGTGTGTTTATACATTCCTGCTCTTCAACAGGGTCTTGCTATTTAGCGCAGGCTGGACCTCAGCCTCCTGGTACTTCTGACTTGGCCTCCTGAATGGGTTCTTGTACATTTTTATTTTTACTTTAAGGTTTTCTTATTTGTGTGTGTGTGTGTGTGTGTGTGTGTGCCAGTACCCTCAGCCAGAAGGGATTCCTTGGAGCTGGGCTTATAGGCATTTGTGAGCCACTTAATATGCTGGGGTCTGAATCAATTGTTCTTGGCTTCTTCTCCTTATTTTGTTTTTGACAGGGTTTCATGTAGTCCAGACTAGTCTGGAGTTTGCTTTACAGCCAAGGTCAATTTTGAACTAATCCTTCTGCACCCGTTTCTCAAGTGCTGAGATTACTGGTGTGAATAGATATGCCTGCTCAGTTTCCCTCTGTAATTTAGCAGTACCTCCATCATGTGATAATTTTCATATGAAAATGAGTTCTCATATTTCAGCAGTCTTTAGGTTCTCGCTTCAAAGACTATTCTTTTTTTTTTAAACTTTTTTTTCATTTATTTACTTAACTTTATTACGTTTGCTGGTGTGAAGGTGTCAGATCTCATGGAACTGCATTTTCAGACAGTTGTGAGCTGCCATGTGGGTGCTGGGAATCGAACCCGGGTCCTCTGGAAGAGCAGTCAGTGCTCTTAACCGCTGAGCCATCTCTCCAGCCGCCCCACTATTCTTCATTTTAAGTTACTTTATTATTGTTTGTTTCTTTGTTGACACAGGGGTTTCATACTCACTTTGTAATTCAGGGAAACCTTGAACTTCTGGTCATCCTATCCTACCTGTGGTTACTTCATTATTTCTAAAAGATTTGCTGCATATTTAATAAAATATATTAATGAAAGTATCCCAACTAGCACGATGAAAAGTGAAAAGACTCGATTTGGGACTGGAGAGATGGCTCAGTGAAGAGCACTTGCAGCTCTTCCACAGGACCTGGGTTTGGTTCCTAGAACCTACATTGTATCTCACAACTGGTCATAACTCCAGTTCCAGGGGATCCAGCATTTCTTTTGGCCTCTGTAGGCATCTGTAGTGATGTACAAACAAAGCCTTTATATGTCTGGCTTTAAGTGAAATGTATACCAAAGCCTTTGTGTCTGGCTTTGAGAAATGGTTCAGCAAAGCCTTTGCCATGTTTGGGTTAATCAGTAGAGGCTGAGGAATTGTTTTGAGACTGTTACAACCTTAAAGAGTTGTTTCTCTGGAGTCTACACTTGGTGCTGCGTGAGAGCTTGCCACTGCACCGACCTTGGTCCTAAGGCACTGCTGGCAGACCTGAGTTTTTACTTTTGGTTATGGCTCAGTAGTTTGAAGCTTTGGTATGACTTTGGTAGTTGGAACCTTTGCCAGCCCTTGTGAACCTTGTATTTGTTTAAATAAAGTAACTAGAGTGAGCTAGTTGAGTGTGAGTCTTTCCCAAGAAGCCTGTACGGTTGCAGACTGTTACTTTACTTATGTAAAGACGCATTGCATTTGTTTAACGATGTAAAGATGTATTGCTTTACCTGCCTAAAGCACCTGATTGGTCTATTAAAAAGCTGAATGGCCAAGAGCTAAGCATTAGAGGGATAGGTGGGGCTGGTGGGCAAGGAGAATAAGTAGGAGGAAGAATCTAGGAGAAAGAAAACCAGAGGGAGTGGAGAACGAGGGGGAAAAAGGGGAAGATGTCTTGCACTAAGCAGCTAGCTAGACATTGGAGAAGACAACGAAAGGAGGTTATACAGAATGAAAGGAGGGTAAAAAGCACTGAGGCAAAATATAGATGAGGGGAAACAGGTTAAATTAAGTTACAAGAGCTAGTGGGACAAGCATAAGATAAGGCCAAATATTCATAACTAATAATAACTCTCTGTGTCTTTATTTGGGAGCTGGTAGGGAACTAGAAAAAGCCTGGTACAGTGTACCCTTCTGCTTTTCCAGAAAAAGAAGGCTTGGCATCTTGGTGATCTTACCTCTCTACTTTGGCATCTGTGACCCAACATCAAACAACAGGCTTCAAGCATGTAAGCAAAGGGTTTACACACATGTAAACAAAACACTCATGCATAGCTGGCCATGGTGGCTCATACCTTTAGTTTCAGCACTCTGGAGACAGAGGCAGGCAGATCTCTGTTTGAGGCCAGCTTTGTCTATATAGAATTTTTTTTTTTTTTTGGTTTTTCGAGACAGGTTTTCTCTGTGGTTTTGGAGCCTGTCCTGGAACTAGCTCTTGTAGACCAGGCTGGTCTCGAACTCACAGAGATCCACCTGCCTCTGCCTCCCGAGTGCTGGGATTAAAGGCGTGCGCCACCACCGCCCGGCGGTCTATATAGAAAATTATAGGACAACCAGGGATACATCAGGAGACCTTACCTAAAAACAAACAAACAAAAAACACTCATACACATATTTTTTAAAAAATGTTAGATTTGGTTAAATATAATTTTCTCATTTAACTAAAGAGAACAGGAGGAGTTCAGGGGTGCATGCCTGCCATGTTGGCTCTCAAGATTGAGACGTCAGTACAGCAAGTTCAGCCTGATCCACACAATGAAACGCTGTGTCAAAAAGACAAGATGGGACCCGCATAAAGAGGGATAGATGGGGACTCCACACACGTTCATCCTCTGATCTCCACGGGCTGTCCTGTGGCAAACATGCCCATGAGCACACATTGGACAATCATGTGATTATTCTCTAAACAAATAGAAAAAAGAATGCTGAAGTGAGCTTAATTTTGTGTTTTTTTTTTTCAAGACAGAGTTTCTCTGTGTAGCTCTGGCTGTCCTGGAACTCACTCTGTAGACCAGGCTGTCTGTGAACTCACTGAGATCTCTGCCCCTGCCTCCCAAGTGCTGTGATTAAAGGTGTGCACCACCACCGCACCACCACCCGACTTTCTGCATTTCTTGAGTTTTCTGTTTGATACATGGCTTCATAATGCCCAAGCTAGCAAACTCACTACAGAGCTGAGGATGAACTTGATCTCCTCTGAGGATGACCTTGAACTCCCAGTCTTCCTGACTCCAGCTCCACCTCTCAAGTGCTGAGGTTACAGACGTGCACCACTGTACCTAGCTCCCGTTTTCTGATTTTTTTCTTGGAGTATGTATGTTTGGGGTTCGTATGAATTTATTGCTGTTTGGGGACTCAAACTCACACCCTGCATGTGCTACGCAAGTGCTCTATCACTGAGCAACACCTTCGTCCATTTTTCTGTTTTGTTTGTGTTTGTTATTTGTTTGAAGCAGGGTCTTGATATATAACCCAGGCTGGTCTCAAACTCAGAATAATCCTCCAGCCTCAGTCTCCAGGTAGCTGGGATTCCAGGTACACAGTGCCTCGCATGGCTTGCCTGGCTGTTAACTGTGATTCCCAAAGTCCAGATCCTCAATATTTTACCACAAGGTCGCGTCCGATCCCAAAGAGAAAACCTTTGAGTTAACTTGGGCCTTCCTGAGACCCTTAGCAGCGAGGGGGAGGGGGTTTTTATAGTGGGAAAGGTTTGCAGAATCCCTGTAGGCTTGGGATTGGCTGCCCTCTATGGGGTGAGGGGATTGTCTGCTTCTGATTGACTCCTCTTGTTAGGGGGAGGAGTCCAAGGTGTCTCAGGGAGAGGTCACTACTCCTAGACTAGAGGTTACTGCTGCCTACTCAGGGATTGACCAGTTTTTCCTGCTCAGGGATTGGTTGGTTTCGTGTCAGCTAGAGGTGGCACTGATTTCAGGGCCAAACTGTGTTTCTTTCTCTGGTCCTTTTTATCTTTTAGGCTCTAATTTTAGGGCCAGGGTGAATTCCTTTAGCAGGTTCTGGTTTTAGGGACAAAGTGTGTTCCTTTGGCTCTGGTTTTGGGGTCAGGGTGTTTTGTTTTCATCTAGCTCGGGGTTCAGGGATAAAGTGTTTTTTTTTCCGCTGTCTCAGGTCCCAGATCCGGGGTGTGTTTCTTTCCCTGGCTCTGGGTTCAGAGT